GTCAGATGGCTGTCAGCCAACTTCAGGCACACGCTGGCTGAGAACAGCTTCCTGTGTGATCTCGCTCAGGATCCAGGTTAAACACACCTTCAGGCGGGACTCTAGAAATCCAAAGCTTTCCAGATCCAAATGATACGGGGCAGGTCCTTCCTGCCCCTCTGCCCAGTGAGACCTTCTTTATCCTTCACAGATCAGACAGGGCGCCTCCTCCTGGAAGTCTGCTCCGATCCCCCAGCCCGCAGGGGCCTGTTGCCTCCGTGTCCGTACCTCTGTCACTGGTGCTCAGTCCTGAGCCCCCCTGGCCTGCTTGGGTCTTAGGTCCCTAGTGTACAACCCTCAGCCCTCTGATTAAATCTCTAAACCTTTGGGGGCTAGGGTCCAAATCCCCCTACCCACAAGTCGGACTTTGTAAGGGGCAGTGTTATAAGGGGAATGAACGTGAGCTTTGGCACCAAATGCAGCCGGGTTCAGACCCTGGTTCGGTGTGTGGCATTGGGCAAGACACTTACCCTCTCCATACTCTTTCTTTATCTCTAGATTGCAGGTGATGATAAAAATATGTACCTTTCATGGTCGTGTTGATTGAAGAAGGCTTAGAGGTGCAATGACCGACACGTTACAGGCACTTGATAGATGGTAGCTGGTATTGATTGTTATTATAAACGCTGGCTTCCCTGCTTGATTGATTTGGCGATTAGAACAGGACACAAATAAAAACAAAAATTCAAGTCACACTCAAGAAATTAGTTCGGAGGACTTCTAGAGCCAGGTTTCTACAGTGCAATTCTCTAAGTCCAAGGTCCCCTCTCTCCTTCCAAAGGCTCCAGCCCCACCTCTTCTCTGATCCTCTCATAGAAACACCCCCTCCTCCTCTTTAGCTGGTGAGCTGAAGGGCATGACCCATCTCCCTATAGTGAGAGGGGGGAGGCAGGTAGAGTACCTGAGGCAGGTAGAGTACCTGAGGCTAGTGACGTTCTCATGTTACAGTTGAATTAACCTAGGCCAGAGATGAGAAGTGCTGCCTTTGCCAGAAGGCTACTTGGACGTACCTGGGCTCTAGAACCTTCCACAGAAGGCACAGGCCCAGGGGAGGCTGTGGTGAGCCTCATGTCCTCTAGAATGGGGACCACACCTGAAAAGGTTTCACCCGCCCTGCATTCTGGCTCTTTAACCTCCTTCTTCCATTTGCAAGCTCCTCTTTCCCCCTTTTCCTCCTCCGCCATTAGTTCTTGGCTCTATATTTTTTCTATCACCTTCATACCAGAGGTTCATATTTTGCGTCAAGCCTCTCCTAGCTGTCGAGCGGTTTGGTTTTGTGTTTGTGTGTGTGTGTGTGTGTGTAATTTTCTTTCCTGAGCGTGTTATTCTTGGAGAAGGAGTGCCCTGGCTTGGGCGATGGGAGGGATGGAAGGGAGGGGATGGAGGGCCTGGGTGCAAAGGTGGGGGCTGGACATGGCATCCCCTCTGGAACACTGCTGTCTGCGGGCCCGCCAGGCATGGGGATCTTAGGGTCACCAGGGAAGCTTCCAGAGTGTAGGCAGGGTGGGGGCACGTCTTCCCAAAGAGTTAATAAAAACAGCAAACCACAGCCCCCCTTCCCCTGCTACCTCATGCCAGGAAAAACAGCCCCGAGCTCTGTGGTTACATCTGTTCCTCCAGGAATGGTACAAAGACTCCAAACCATGCCATGGTGAGAAGTCGCTGCTGGACAGACCAGCCTTCAAGTCCAGGGTCACCCAGGCCTGTCACCCCCTCCCCACTGCCAGATCCACTTTGTGCTTTCTCATGGTCATGACGCCGGTTATAAGATTTCCCCGTCCATCCAATGACAAGATGAGGAAAGAGAAGCCCAGAGAGGTGGTGGGGCCTCCCGGAGTCACACAGCTGTGGTTTCTGACCCCAGGCCCAAGCAGACCTGCTCCAAAAGCATGGGAAGCAGGGCATTTAGCACAGGGGTGGTGCTACCCATCCCTCAGAGGGCTCGGGTGAGACAGGGATCACCTACACCCCATCCAATGGGTTCCAGCTCCTCTATTTAAGAAGGTAGGGATAAGTTTAAGGAATTGCGGGAACTTTTCCTGAAAAACATTTTAAAACATTTTTGTCTTTATAACAATAAGCCCTTGGCAAGCAAGAAAACTTGCGTGAAAGAACTAATTTCCTGAGGTTTTAATGATTTGGGCTTTTAATAGTTGATGGGTCATTTCATTCATGAACAGTCTTTTCAGGTGAGAAGGTTCCTCTGAGGGTCAGAACGCTGCTACCATTAGGGTAGCTTCGTGGGAATTAGAAAAAGGTGTCATTTCCTCGATACATCTACTTCCATCTATCAAACCAGTGTCGTAATATACTGATTTTGTCCGAAGACAGCATTTAATGCCATCTGCCAGAAATGATAGCTATCACAAACCCATAATGTCTATGAAGTGAATATTGCCTCTGTGTTGCCTGTTGTATTATCTGTTATCTTCCTGTGTTATCTATTATGTTATCTATTGCTGTATAACAAATTACTCTGAAACTGAGTAACTTAAAACAAGAATAAACGTTTACTATCCCCGGTGTCTATGAGTCAGGAATTCCGAAGCGGCTTTGCTAAGTGGTTCTGATTCGGTGTCTTTCCTGAAGCCGCACTCAGGCTGTCAGCAGGGGTGCTGTCCCCTGAATGCCTGACTGGGACTGAGTGACCTGCTCTCCTGGTGGCTCACTCACACAGCGGGTAACTTGGACCTGCTCGGTCCCTTGCCACGTGGACCTCGCCAAAGAACTGTCCTGATGACATGGCAGCTGGCTTCCCCCAGAGTGAGCGAACCCAGAGAGAGCCAGGCGGACACAGCGATGTGTTGTCACTTGTTGTTACTTTAGCCATTCTGATAGGTGTGTGGTGATATCTTATTCCCCTTGGGTGGGTATTGCTGCATCTTTATCACAGCTGTTATGTCCCCGTGAGCTCTGTTAGAGCAAGGGCCTGCTTGGTTTGCCTTCTGTGCATCCCCAGAGCCCAGAGCAGGGCAGGGCACAGGAAGAAACCCAAAGTCTGTTTAGAGAATGAATGCATGGCCTGCGGGGTCTCTGGCCCTTTTTAAGCAGGCAGGAAAGCAGCAAGGCCTTTGCTCTGGGAAACCTCTTGAATACCTTCCCCGGGCGAGATTGCTGGGGGAAGGCTAAGGCCCTCCACCACCCACGGAGGAGCAGGGACGAGGGGGGCAGAGCACCCAGCACCCTGATACCCCACCGGGTCCCTGGGGCCTCCAGGCCACTTGGGGCACATATTGTGGGCCTGGCGCTTCTCCCTTCTCCCCTTCCACTGCCTCTGCCTTCTCAGGGCAGAGACATCCCGAGGATAAGTATGTGGGGATCCCCAAAGCTCTTGCCATTGGGCCGTGGGTCTTCCAGACTTTGTTTTTCTTTTCTCCCCACTGTAATTGCAGCCGGGGAAGGGCCAGGCCTTTGCTAGGATTTATCCATGGGCCACAGCCAAGCTTTGCCCCGAGTAGCAGGGCCGTCAGTGCCCTGCAATAAAAATTGAGGTGGCTTGTGGTCCAGGTTGAATCTGTTGACTTGGGTTGTGAATTCTGCTCCCTGAAGGGAGGGCGTGCCTGCTGTCCTCTGCGCCCCCCTCCCCGACCGCTGGCGGCTATGACCGGCCACACTTCATGTCTTGTGTATAGATAATGCGGAGGTGTCTTAGAAGAGGCTTCTCCCCGTAGGGATATGTTTCCCGAAGAGTAACAGAATACAGACATGATAAATTAGCTAACAATGAGCTCGAATTTAATATTGAATATAAATATTTATAGGTCAAATGGCTCACAGATATACACATATAGGAGGTCAGTATTTTCTAAAAAATCAAGAATTTCAAATGAAGGGAAACCTCATCAGCTAAGATGAAGCCAGAAATAGGTCAGAAAGCAGAACACCTGCCATAAGGCCCCCATTCCCTTGCTGAAAATGGGCCACGAGATCGGTTTGAAGATTCCTAGAAGCTGTTATCTGTTTGCTAGGGCTGCGATAACAAAGTACCACAGACTGGAGCTTAAACAGCAGAGATTTATTTTCTCACAGTTCGAGAGGCTGGAAGTCCAAGACCAGGGTGTCGGCAGGGTCGGTTTCCTCTGAGGCCTCTCTCTTTGACTTGTAGGTGGCTGTCTTCCACTCTGTGTCCTCACGTGGTCTTCCGTCTGTGTGTCTGTGCCCTGCTCTCGTCTTGTAAGGGTACCAGTCATACTGGATGAGAGCCCTCTATAGGACCCCGTTTTAACCTTAATTCCCCTTTTAAAGAGCCTACCTCGAAATACAGGAACACTGACATACTGGGGGGTTAAGACTGCCACATATGAAGTTGGGCTGGGGAACAACTCAGCTACCGTTAGTAGCCCCCTCTGTTAGTACAGCCCGCATCAGTAGCCAAAAGTAGCAAAATCTGAATCTGTTAGAGGAGTCAGAGGATTTGTGAAATAAACCAAAGCATTCTCCCAGAGGGAGCCCTGAGTCATGAGAGAAAATTCCTCCTTTGGCGCTTGACCCACAGACGTTGTGTGAGTCCGTAGCGGCCACCATTCCCGTAGCATACAGAGCAATGGAGTTTCACATGGCTGTCCGTCCCCGCGTTCAGGAATTGCACATTCCCAAAGTGGAATTCAGTGAAATCGGGCCTGCGAGAAGGTTCCACAGCCTTTGCTAAAAGGCAGACGCTAGCTGCCCAATGACAAGCCCAACTCCAAGGGCCTTTGGGGTCCCGGGAAGAGCCCAGTGGTTCACTGAGAAGCCCCAGCTTCTGAGTGGGGCTCTGAGTTCCAGGTGAGATTGGGAAAAGCTGAGGAAGAGGGGCCAGGTTTCTAGCAGAGGGGGAGGGAGGGGAGCCCCAAGCAAAGGCAGGGGTGGGGTGGGCAAGCACACCCACCAGCCTGGCCTCCCTGGGCCAGGGTCCCGGAGCTGGCATCCCCTCCTGGGGCCACGTCCTCTGACCCGGTCTCTCCTTGTGTGTGTCCCCACAGGGCTCTGGCTGAGAACATGGCCAATGGCATTGACGAGCTGATCGGCATTCCCTTCCCCAACCACAGCAGCGAGGTCCTGTGCAGCCTGAACGAGCAGCGGCATGACGGGCTGCTCTGCGACGTGCTCCTGGTGGTGCAAGAGCAGGAGTACCGCACCCACCGCTCCGTCCTGGCCGCCTGCAGCAAGTACTTCAAGAAGCTCTTCACAGCCGGCACCTTAGCCAGCCAGCCCTACGTCTACGAGATCGACTTCGTCCAGCCCGAGGCGCTGGCCGCCATCCTGGAGTTCGCCTACACCTCCACGCTCACCATCACGGCCTCCAACGTCAAGCACATCCTCAACGCCGCCAGGATGCTGGAGATCCAGTGCATCGTGAACGTGTGCCTGGAGATCATGGAGCCCGGGGGCGACGGGGAGGAGGAGGATGACAAAGAGGACGACGACGATGACGAAGATGACGACGACGAGGAGGATGAAGAGGAGGAGGAGGAGGAAGAGGAGGAGGAGGACGACGACACGGAGGACTTTGCTGATCAAGACAACTTGCCTGACCCCCAGGACATCAGCTGCCACCAAAGCCCCTCCAGGATGGACCACCTCTCGGAGGCCTGTTCGGATGCTCCCAGGGACTTCCCCGATTCCTTCCGGGCCGGCAGCCCTGGCCACCTGGGCGTGATCCGGGACTTCTCCATTGAATCTCTGCTGAGGGAGAACCTGTACCCCAAAGCCAACATCCCCGACAGGAGACCCTCCTTATCTCCGTTCGCCCCGGACTTCTTTCCTCACCTCTGGTCGGGGGACTTCGGTGCCTTCGCCCAGCTGCCCGAGCAGCCCATGGACAGCGGGCCTCTGGACCTGGTCATCAAGAACCGCAAGATCAAGGAGGAGGAGAGGGGGGAGCTGCCCCCACCTCCGCCGCCGCCCTTCCCCAGCGACTTCTTCAAGGCCATGTTCCCGGACCTTCCCGGGGGGCCGCTGGGCCCCATCAAGGCAGAGAATGACTACGGTGCCTATCTCAACTTCCTGAGCGCCACCCACCTAGGGGGCCTCTTCCCGCCCTGGCCGCTGGTGGAGGAGCGCAAGCTGAAGCCCAAGGCCTCTCAGCAGTGCCCCATCTGCCACAAAGTCATCATGGGGGCCGGGAAGCTGCCACGGCACATGAGGACCCACACCGGGGAGAAGCCATACATGTGCAACATCTGTGAGGTCCGCTTCACCAGGTGCGAACGGAGGCCTGTGGGTGTGAGGGGCAGGGCGGGGAGGGCCGGGGGCCTCGGGGATGGAGAGGGACCCAGGTCCAGCTGGATCCTGGATGCACAGCAAGCTCATCGCCAGAACAGGTGCTAGGCATTAGCTGGGGCAGTGATTTTCAGATATTTTCCTATATATGCTATTAGGTATAAGGCCAAGATGCAAAAGAGATCAGAGCGGAGCTGTTCTGGTTAAGGCAGAAGCGGGGAGGGGGGATCTCAGCACCCGCTGTAGATCCAGGAAAGCCGGTTTGAAGCTCCCCAATGGAGTGCAGCCCCTCCTTTATTTTATTTGGAGCCCAGACAGCATGCCAGGGCCTGTCTTGAATGGATTACATATACTACCGCCCCCGCCACGTCCTGGAAGTCAGGGAGGGCCATGGGCTTTGTCCACAGATAGGTGATCTGTCTCCCAGTGGCTAGTCAGCCACTCCTAAGCCCAGCTGGGAAATGGCAGAGCTGGGACTTGAACCCCAGTGAGACCCCTGTAGGCCCTTTCAGTCCTATTTTGGGTCAGACCTAAAGGCTGGGCCTCCTTTTACGTTCTCCCCCTTGACTGTCCATGTTGGGAAGAGGGTTAACACTATGCCGTTATAAAAGTTGAACTTTGAAATCAGTACACGATAAGCCTTTCATCTTTCCCAGACTCCATCCCGTTCAGCACGCGTGTGTTGTGTACCTTCTCTGCACAGCAACTTTTGTGGTCAAAACTGATTGGTGGGATGATGTGGGGTCCGATTTGTCCAGTGCTAGGTTTTGATGGGCCTCATTTGGGGGAGATAAGGTCTGTTGGTGCCGATTGTGGTCACTGATGTGAGGCTGACCTTCTCAGCCGTGTCCACACTGCGGAAGGTTCTGGTGAGTGCCCTGCATCAGGGCTTGGTCATTTCAGTGTGTCGGATGTGGTTTACCTGCCCTGGGACTGTGACTTCCTAGACCAGGTCCTTTCCCCACATTGGCCCTGTCCCCATCAGAGAACCCGCCTTGAGAAACCCACGCTTATTCCAGTGGTGCTGCTGCCACCCCGTAGCCCCCTAGCAGTTCATCTTTGGGAATTGCTGGGGGCTCGTTCTTTCGATTTGCCCCAGTGGGCCCAAAGCTCTGGGTTTTGAGGAGAATGCAATGTTTGGCATCACGTCGATTATCAAATCAGGGGCAGTGCTTTTGGGGGAAAAACAAGATGAGTTCTGCTAAGTAACGAGACGCACTCTCTTTGGCGGCTTGAAAACTCGATTTGAGGTTGCCAGAGAGGGTACAGGAACGTGTTCAGCTGACAGTTGTGAAAACAGCTCTGCAGGGTCTTCCGGTGACCGCTTCGAAAGACAACGCGGATTGTTTCCAAGGTGGCCTTGGGTCCCCTCACAGCTGCTTCTGTGAAGGAAACCCCAGCAGAATCTCCCAGCTGCTCCGAGCTGACAGTGAAGGGAGAATTTCCGGGTGCAGAGAGGCAGGGCCCCCCATACCCCGGGTGTGTCCCCTTCCACCCAGCCGTGCTGACCTCAAGTGCTTGCTTCTCTTACCGCTGCAGAGCAGCTGGCCCCAAAGTCCCCGAGATTCACCCCCTCTCGGGTGCCCCCCACTACTGGCCCTGCCACTCTTACGTCGCCTCCTCCTCCCTCCCTCCTCTTCTCCTGAATTCACCTTAGAGCCATAGAACCCCTGTAAAGGCTTGACGAAAGCACAGGGATAACGGAAGATAAACCAGAGCCCAGTCCAGATTCAAGCACAGTTCATGCATCTGGAGCCAGTGCCTCTCCGCAGCCCCCTGGGAATGACTTCAAGACGTGGACACCCTTCACAGGCCTGGTCCAGAAAAGCCAGCCCCTGAGTCCTGCCACCTGGGCTCCACCTCCTTTGCTTGTCCCCTGCACAGACGGCTGACACTTGGGGACACCCCTCCCTCCAGGGGAGACCCTGGTCTGTGGCTTCAGGGGGATGTGCTGCATCTCAGGGTACCTCAGAGCGAGCCTGCCCTGCCCCCCCACCAAGTCCCCATGTCCCTTCCGTTCCCCACTTCCCTCCGGGCCTTTCCCACACTCCGCTGTGAGGGCCATGGCGGTCTGTGTCCCTGCCTTCCCTAGGGAAAGTTTTAAACTCGGTCAGTCGAGACAGACTTCTCGCCCTCTTGACACCAGAACATCCTCTGCGTGGGCCTCCTGGTTTGGGCCTCAATGCTGTGTTGTATAGGAGGGTCGCATTCCAGAACCCTCCCTCCCAGCACATTCCTGCTGATCACTCAGGGTGGTCGCTGTGCCTGCCGGCTCACCACCCCTCCAGGCCAGATCAGCCGTGGGGCGGGTTCCAGCCATCCAGCCCCCGGCCCTGCCCTCCCTGCGGTCTAGTCCTGTTCAACAGAACGACAGCCACCCGGGCCCCCAGGCCTGTCTCCAGCTGGCGCAGCTTCGTTCCCGCCTCCGTCCACATCTCCCCTCACTCGGTGCCCACTGGGCACTGGCCCTCCTGAGACAGATCAGAAGAGCTCCGGGGTCCCCTTCCCAGGAGCAGAGATACCCGGAGTGGGGAGAGGGTGGAGGAGAGTTTCTTGGCCTCCTCCCCTAGGGACTTTATTTCTCACTGCGGGCTGTGGCTGCCCATGATGGACACCCCTCGACACCCCTCCCCATCACATTCTTCGGAATCGCTGGTTCCTTGCTGCCCTTCTGTCGCCTCCCCGGAGCTGCCTGCAGGATTCTTTTCAGCCTTCAGAGAGCCTCAACCCTGGCCTGTCCAGGTCCGGGTGGCCTGTAACTCTTTATATAGCCAAGTCCTCTCGCAGCCTTTCCACGGGGAGCCCCCCCTTTGTGGCTGACTTCCGGCCGCCAACATCTGTAACACTGCCCTCCTCAGCTGGAGGCGTCTTCAGCAGCCACTGAGAGCAGCAGCTGCTGCCTCTTTGACTCGGAATTCCCAGACTCCCTTGCAATGCAAAGCCACTACCTGGGACTGGACCCCCCGCGAGGCTGAGGGACCCCTGACCTGCTGCCCTCACGTCCTCCTCGTGGACACTATTTTCCTTTCTGGAGCCCGAGTCTTTGCTTAATTATAGCTGAGCTTCTGCTCTCCGGTCAGGCCTCCTTTCCTCTCTTCTTGATGTTGATCCCACTTCCTCTCCCTCCTGGGGGACGTTGGAGTGACCCACCCTCCCCCTGCAAGGTGGCCCCGGCTCTGAGTTATGGCCTCCGATGCCAGCTCCCAGCATGTCCACGCCCCGTGGGAACATCATTCTTCATGGCTTCAGCAGCGCAACACGGTGGAGGGGCCTTGGGCGTCCTTCCAACAGAGCCCCTTCTGCCCCTGAGGCCCCACTTACTGCTCTCATTCTGTGGGTGTCCAAGAAGGGACTGCAGCCCCACCATCATGTGTCTATTCCTTGGTGTCGGGAATCTCACCTCCGAGCCAGCTCTAGATTTCAGCCAGTCCCACAGTTGTCCCACCACTGATCTTTCCAGCTATGAGACACCCCTGGAGCCACAGGAAAGGCCTCAAAGGCTTCAACCAGATGGTGTATCTCTGGCCCCATGCTGTCCCCTCCTAGCTCTGGCCATCCCATGATCACCTGGACTCCAAGTTCCTCTGTCTATGCCTGAGTCTATGTGTCCACTCCCCTAGCCTGGTCCAAGGTCACCATTTTCTTCCTGAGGACGGCTGCAGTCTGTGCTGGCTGCAGAGACAGCTCGTGATGAAACTGGTCCTGTGGCTCTAACTTGGGAGAGAGAAACAGTTCCAGGACTTAGGGCAGAGGTAGCCTGGACCAAGATTCCCCCAGACCCTCCTCGTCAGGAGTCCTTTACTTCTATTCCCAGAAAGTCTGGAAGCCTGGGCCAAAGGTCAGGACTACAGGGTTCGTGGGCCAGAGGTGGCCCCTAGGATGGGCCTTGAAGAACGGGGAGCATGTGGGCCAGGGAGGACAAGAAGGTATTCATCCTCTCTGCATGCAGAGGGATGCTGCTGCCCTTGGTGGGACTTTTCCCTGCCCACCCACCTCACAGGGCCCTCCCCCTCCTCGTTGCCCCAACCCCTGTCATCACCACCAACTAGGCCTGGCCTGGGCCTGTGAAGGCCTCAGAAGACTCTTAATTGCTCCTGTCCTGCCACGTGGGTCCTTGAGTACAGGCCGCCTGTCAGGGGAGCCCCTGGAGCGCATGCTTGGGCAGTCTTCCCTCCTGGAGCCCCCGCATCCCATCCGCAGCCTCGCTCTCACAGGCGCTCCAGTCAGGTCTGGCGGACACGTGGTGAAGTCAAGAAACTGCCACACGTGAGAAGAGACCAGCTCCTGAGACAACAGTGGTCCCGTGGAGGAGAAGGATGGGCAACCCAAGCTCTGTACCCCGAGAAATCAATCTCTGATGAGCCACGATTTCCCCAGTCTCCACTGAATCCCCTACCGACATCCCGTGAAGGCTGCAACTTTTAGCCCCCACCCCCTGGCCCCCAGAGCAAGCCAAACGCTGATTGCTCCATGGCGCCCCACGGTTCTCTCTCCAAACAAGGCCGGGAGCCTGGCAGATGATGCTTTTTTTTCTTAGTTCTCCCACTCCTGGCAGCTCTGGGGACCTTATTAAGATAATGTAGTATCGTTAGCAGTGGCAGCAGGAAGATAATTTGTCTCAGACCATCAGGTTACCAAGAAGTCTGAGTGGATGGTGTTGGGAAAGCGTTATCCTCACTTAGGAGCCTCCACTGAGACCCAGGACCCGGGGCCCTTTCCTTTCACTCAGGGGAATGATATCACCAGGACTGGCTCATCTTTCTTGACGATGAGCTCTCCGAGCTGGAAGGGGGAATACCGGTCAAGGCTTGCATGCATGTGACCTGGCCTGGGTCCCAGGTGCAGAGTAAAGGGATGAGACGGCAGACAAGGGGACAGGGCGAGGGAGGAGCACGTCAGGTTTGGACTGGGCAGTTCTGAGAAGTGGCCCCGCACCAGCGGGCCGCGGCCATGACCACCCAGTGTACAGTGAGGAGCCCCG